ACATAAGCCAAGGGGTCAACATACATATGTACATACTGCAATTTTCGATTTCGTATTAAACCTTTTTGACTACCAACTGAGTATTTTGTTTGGGTTTTAAGATCTTTTCCAAAAAATTCAGTGTCTACAAAAAAATTTGAACTTATTTTGCAAAGCTTTTTCGTAAGCTATATTTTTCCTTTAGACTGTTATATCTGTATCTGTCTGTAGTATTTCATTCATTCAAAATTTGAAATTTGCTTTAATAAATTCTGGCTAAAAAATACATTTGTATTACTCGTATAAATATAATAGAATAGCCCGATTCCGACGACTGAGCTTTTTTGAAAAAACTTCAATTTATTTTTTGTATTTCTCATTTTTTTCATATTGAGGGATCAGAACTTATTACAATAATTAAAACAAATATCTTACATTTTGCTCCATCAGTTGCTCTAAAACAACTCTCTCTATACAATCTAAAGTCCTGGCTCATCAAAGCTTGAGCCCACGAATAAAGTCATACCATACATGCAAAAAATAATGATCGCTATTATAAACAAGCATCATATAAAAGTTAATGTTTTCAGTAACAGATCCTAAAAATATTATACAAAAATAATAAACAATTTTGTACTTCTGTTTTTCTGGAAAACCATTAGAATTTTATTTTTCTTATGCGGGGAACTAAAAATATGAAGTCTGAACTTTGACATCACATTATCATCGCAGATCCTTTAATGCATACATACAAACATACATAGGGTGATACTTTGTTCACTTACTTATGCGGAATCATATTTGTTTTCAAACCATATTAAAACTTTTTGCAAATCCAAAATTTGATTTTGAAACTAAGCGATGATTTTGGGGTCGCTTACACCACTGTGCGGGGAGGGGAGGTGACGACGGCACCGACGTCAGCGGAAGTGCAGCATTTGCACATTTCCGGCGCTGCTCACTCAGCCCGTGCATAATCGATTAACTGGCGCGCATAAACATGACCGCAAATGTGCAAATGCACGACCACAGACAGAGACGCGGAAGGAGACTGGGGTGGACTCCGGGCCGTATCCCCGTTCAGCCGGGACCGGTGCTCGGGCAGGGGCTGGGAATGGGGCAGGAGGTTCCTGTAGCGGGTGATGTCGACATGCATAAATGCAAATGCCATGGCAATACATATGCAAATTACTTTTCACACACTCTGCTTCACAAAAATGCACCACAATCCAGACGGATACGAATACGGCCACGGCTTGCGGGCTACGGGATGCGGGCTGCGGGATGCGGGCTGCGGGTTGAGACAACAATTATGGATGTGAATGAGGATGTGCGCGAATGCATAGCTGGTTATAGTAGTCTGCCACTAATTTTGTGTTTTCTCTGCGGGCTGATATCCACTAAACTAATTGCAAAGTGAGACTCTTCGCGATTTCCATGAGGAGACTGAGCAGGGTGGAAGCGATACAGATACAGATGTCTGTGGCGTTCCAAGTGCACACAGTAAATGGATACTGCTGGTGGGATTTTTTGCACTGATGGGAGTTGGAAGCTGGAAGCTGGGACACTTAACTAATTCGGTAAGACTCAAGGTAGTCAATCACCGCAGCCAAAAAATGTTCTTTTAGTTTATGGGAATCGTATATCGAATCATATAAAAACAAAATTAAAAACAAAAACAGCATCCTACAATACACATATGTACATATATCGACTTTTTTTCTATGGTCGCTGGTAGCTACTATTTCCATCCAAATATCATCAAAGTGACAGTAGATATAATAAAATCTGGTTGAATGCGGTCGGTTAGTCGTCAGACTTCGTGGAAACAGAGAAAATGGAGGGACATGGTCGTTGATTTTGATCACGAATATAAGAGTATGTTGGTAGATACATATGCTGCCTGTACCTTCTTGATTGGGTGATTGGTAAGCAAGTTCGTATCCTTATTATTTCCAAAATCTTCCGTGTAATCGATATCCTTGTGGGCTAGCATCCCATATCCGAGCCAGGAACCCAGCTTTCGTGCTTGCCGTTGCATTGACAAAGTCACTCCCAGCTTGGCCAAGTCCCAACGAGATTTACGGCATTTCCGGAATGGGGTGGAGGAGGAGGTGAAGTGTTCAAGTAAATCAGAGAGCAAAGATGGCGAAAACTTTTGCCTCGATTTTTGGCAAATTAATTTTAGTTAAATTTCAGCACGTTTACGAGTATTGTTTTACCTTTCAGGGGATGGAAAGTGAAAACCAACAAATGACGGCTTGGATGGGAGCAGGTCCTGGAAGCCCGTAGGCTGTTGGGGGGCGTTGAAAATTTTGAGGCGTATAACTTTTGCCTTATTGTGCTTTGGCGGAAGTTGAAAAGCCGAACAGCTGCAGGACCCGCCAAACGGGGAGGACGGCAAGGGAGTGGTATCTAAGATAAAAGTCTGGTGGTAGGCAGCAGACAAATGGCCAAAAAGTTGTCGGAAAAGTCCCCCCTAACTATAAGCCGCCCACGGCTCTTTTTCTGCTTCTCGGCACCCCGTACTCGTTGTGTATAATGTACTCGTGCCGACGAATTTTACAGCCTAAGGGAAGCATTTTCGTCACGCAATATGGATGTTGGTTGTGCCGATAAAGTGAGCATCCCAGTTCTTGCTTGCGAGATTATCCCAATGGTGTTACACCACATAAGAAAAACTAGTATTATTGCACTTTTAGACCGCCAGTAGCATTACGAGTATGTGGAAGATCCCTGGATGTTTAAGCACTTTGGTGGGTCTTTTTTCCTAAATCCTCTGAGAGGGCCCTGTTGCTTCCCCCTCTATTAAGTTCAGGACATTCTCATAGGATGTGTTCTAAGTACTTCTGAAATCCGGCTGAAATGCCAAGGTTTTTTGAAGGTGTACACTTGTGTTCTTGGCCGTCGGAGAATCGCAAGATAGGGTCATCTTAAAGGTGGTCAATAACATTCTAGTAATACATACATAAAAGGTAATAGAGATACACCTGTAACCGTTCCTGAAGCATCCGTGCGGCATATTCTCATTCCCTTTGTGATGCCTCTACATACTAGGCAATGCAATTTGACGCGATCAGACGCTGTTTTTCTTTGAGAGAACTTAGTCCCCAACACTATTTGCAGAATATGTGATAATTCTAGTGACTGTATTGAATGACTTTTTCCGGCTGAGGCCTTAGGTTTTACCGAAACTCCTATTGCAGGCAAAGAATGCGCTTTGGGTTTTATTTATGGTATTTCTTAGGTGTGAGTTCCAGGTGAGTTTGGAGTCAAGGGCGACTCCAAGATAAAGGACTTAACTTGGAAAATAATAATCCTTCATTAATAGTACATTTTTTGGCTGGGTTTATTCCTTGAATTGGCTTTGGACGCATCCGTTCCAACACACTTGCAGCACATCAAGAGACCCGGACAGCCAGTCTGACTTCACACAGCGCGACTATAAAAGGGAAAGGAGAAAGAAGTACTTGGGGACTCGGACCGTACCGCTTTCAATTACCTATGTAGTTGTTATGGTAACTCTCTTGCCTCTATACCCACCCTTGCAATGATTTTCCAATGACAATGATTAAAGGAACTGATTACAACACATTAATTACCCTCTTTTACCCATTCTAGAACACCTGACACACGTTATTACTCCATTCTTAATACTTACATATTTACTTCATAATATTCAGTTCAGATGCACGTCATCACCATCAATGTACGATGAAAATGCAATTGCATAAAAAATACTGGCATTGCAGTGCTGATAATTCATAACTGTTCCTTATTCTTAATTATTGTCTCGTTTATTCTAATTCAAAAATATTGATTTTTTATATGAGGCACCACTTATTTTAATACATCTTGATCAACTTGTGCGTTTAAACCATTATTTTTTAATTTATTTTGATTTCGGCTTTTCCTCCGCTGCTGTAGATAATGGATATCTCGCTGTTCTAGCTGAAGTCTGCTGTGGCAACCTCTGCAGAACGATGCTAGTGCTTTGAAGGTGGTAGTGTAGTTCTTTCACAATGATTTCCCCAGTCTTTCCTTGGTTTACGAATGCTCGGACTTAGTCGCCGCTGCCCAGCGATGTGTCCTGTGCTACGACCAAGCTGATGTTTTCGCTGGTGCCTTGATTCCATTTTCATCCTTTGCAAGCTCAGATCGGGGACACTCGCATCTGCAATGCTAGTTCGCTTTTCCCTGGGCTCGTCTGTCTAGCTCTTCTATAACGTAAAACGTAACGTAACATTCCCTGCAAAACTGTTCGTTACGGTATATAATCGGCTATTGGTGCTGATCAACAATATATGTATACACTTTATGGAATTGGAAACGCTTTCTTCTACGCGTTTCACACATCCACTTTCACCACAAATCTAGTATACCCCTCTATTCTTCAAGTACCGCGTATAAAAAAGACAGATCTAAACAAATTTCAAGAAAAATTAAAAATTTGATCAAATGGAATATATAAAACTCTCCCAACGGTTCGACCGATTTATATGATATTTTTGTTTGGTAAAAAATCAATTCGTCCCTTTTGCAGACAGCGAAACAGCGGGTTGTACTCTTGTGATAACACATTGTTACAATTGTGTTTCAAAATTTCGCCCCACCACCTTCCGCCCGCACAAAGGACTAAAATCTGTTGCAAATCAACCTGCCCACCCCTCTTCTCTTTGAGTACCGCATATGCTCACCGCAAGGAACCTTGCTATGGCAAGGAAAGATAGGGAGAGAGACGAAAACACGTGGGAAAGGACAGGATAAAACAGACCATGATGCTCATCCGGATGCACCATCTTGGCTGATATGCGCAAAGCTCCCCAAAGTCCACCCAGCCATGATCCCTTACCTGGTCGAAAAATACAAATAACGAAAGGATCCATCCAAAAATAATGTGGACTAGGTTCATGCTTCAGACTCAAGCACGGGTTCAACCCAAAAATCGTCCTACTTAATTTGCAAAAAATATAATGTGAAATTAATTTGAATTAATTAATTTGTTTATTTGAGTTATACACTTTCTTTACTCCGATATGGTTTTTCTAATTTAAAAGTCAAAATAAACAGTGCTAAATTTTAAAGTTCTTGCCAAAAGAAGACTAATTTTCCAGCCTAATCAGTCTTTGTAGGCATCCTTTTGAAATTGATGTATTTTTTTTTAATTCTGCTGTCGAACTTAATTCTTCTTGCGGAGGTCGTTCTATGTTCCTTCCGCATTGCGCTTCAAGATGAGTAGCACACGACGGAACATGCTCAGTACGTCAAAGAACAGATCCATGGCGTGCTGAACAAAGTCGTGGTGTCCGTTGCGGCACTTCTCGACAATATCTTGGGTATCGTAGACTACAAAAGCGGACATAACGAGAACTCCCACATAGAGCTGGATTACTTGCATCGCATACGACTTCACTATCATATTGAAGAGACTCAGTACGGCCATAGTGTTCAAAGCGCTCACCAACGTCCCGCCGATAAATAGGTACTTGCTTTGCTCGGACAGCAGTGCGGTCAGGGAGAGGGTGATGAAGGTAAAAAAGGTCCCGATCAGGGCTGTGACGATAATGGAAGGATCGATGCGGCCTACGCATCCCAGCAGCGGCCCTATGGTCTGGCCAGCGAAAAATCCAAAGCCATAAAGCATGGCCAAACGTAATTGGTAGTTGTTGCCGTCATCCTTGTAGAAATGCAGCCCCAAAACCAACAACAGTGTTAGCACAGCGGCCAACAAACCGAAATCTAGAACGCCCTCTATTTGGAGCACGCTTCCCACAGCTGTCGCGGCTGCGGTGCTTCCGATGATCATGTACACCTTGCAGAGGTGGTGGCGCACATGTGGCTCGTAGCGATAGTTGAGACCATTAACACAAGTCTGGAAACAATTGCTAATTTTCTGCGCTACTACGGCGGCCATTTTTCGTCGAATTTCGCAGGTAAAACAGAAATTTTAAGTTCTTATTTATTTTTCAAAAGGATACCTGAATTTGATATATTAACTGACAAACTGCTTTGTACTTGATTTTATATATTTTGATGAGCCTACTGGTTTCTGTTTAAATATCACAACATTCTCTTAAATTTGGAATATTTTACCTTAATTCCGGCATTAAGTATGTACGAGTATGTACATCAAGTCTTGCCAGAGAGAAAGTGTGAGCGGAAGCCCTGACTCCCACAATTTCGTGAGAAACGACACAATCATCCGCGAGCTCAAAGTCCAAGCAGCTAGCAAGAGCCTTTAAAAGTTTAAAGAGCGGTACAGAGAGAGGCTGCGCCCACACCAACGCACTGGCAACAGTCCTGCTCGGCTGCTAAAGTGAAGAAGAGTCTTTCGTCCAGCAATTGATCTCTTGGAGTAAGTAATTGTTATGGCAGTATCGATGTTTATGCCATGTAAGCTCGGCACCATGCTCATCCTTGCTTGGCAGAGATCCGAGTAGACCCAAGCCTCAGAAAGGGGGGTTGACGCAAAATGACATAAAATGGCACCCAAAGACATTTACCCGTGAGACTCGATTTCATTCTTGAAGGGAATTTTTGGTAAATTACTAAGAATATTTTGAAGATATACCACAATATTTAAATCTACAAACTTATGTATATATATGTATATGTAAATATGCAACAAGTATAATAAATATATATATAATATCAATGTGGTATTAAGCTGAAATGATATGGAAAATACAAATTGTAGCGTCACAATAAGCTGTTGTTCATCTGAGACAAGATATCCACTGGCTTTGACTATCGTTGTGTCTAATCTTTATACCAAGTGTTATACCAAACACGTTTGCATATCTTAATAATTTCTGATGCCACGGAAGCTGATCGATCTACGGGTACATTGAGATTTGTCAAATTAAATTTTTCAGCAAATAGATATACATTTTGTTTATTTGTTTCTTAAGTTGTACAAATTAGATATACGAGAAGCGTTGGCAAAGATGTTATTGCGGTCTGTCTGTGTAGATTTGAGGTTCCCAATAGCTGCAATTTTATGGCTCTTTTCTGTGAATTCATTTTTGTGGCATTTTCATTATGGCAACGCCTTTCTTTGCTTTCTCAAACCATTCCCCGCATCCCTTTTCTCTCCATCCGAGCTATCAGCTGCGTGTCCCGATGGTCCTGATGGTCCTGATGGTCCTGGCTCCTTGTTGTTGCTGCTCCTTCTGTCGTTGCTGTTGATTCCTAATCAGAAACGTGTTTGCATGTACACAGAGCTAGAGACAGCGGAGTACGAATGAGTGGGAGGACTGTCGCTTGAGTAATGGCTGCAATAGGCAACGTGCAACAAGGGCTTCTCGCGCGACTCACCAGAACAGAATGGAACGGAGTGGAGACAGAGCAAAGGAACCAGAGTGCACTATGTTTTGCTGCTTGCGTGGTTTCATTTTCAATTCTGTTTGCCTCTGCCAACAGTGAGGAAGGGCGACAGCAGAAGTAACCCTGTGCAACATGCGTTCGACAATCAAGTCAGGCCGCAAGTCAAAAGGCAAAACTTTATTTGCGCAAAGAACGCCCAAAAAAGATAGCCCCAAAACATAAGTCTGTTTGCCCTTGGAGTCCTTACGGCACAGCAGAGAGGGAGGTTCGGAACTGAACAGAAATTGGAAATGAAAATAGAAATGGAATTGAAGCCCTACATTTTTTCACCATGCCTATATTCGTTGAATTTGTTTTCGTTTTCATATATGCAGTACTCATTGCTTAATAGAATATGTATCTTTTCTTGAATATGAGCATATGAAACAGGCAAAAGGAATATATTTAAGTCTCTATGAGCACTGGGATAACGCGAATCAAAGGAGGGATAGTTACGAGTATCGCCGGAATGCAATAACACGAAGAAAAGCCATTTTTCCTGAGGAGCTGTCCCATAGTTTTTAATGAGCTGCAACTTTGAACTTCATCACACAGTCAAATCAAATTCAAAAAAATCAAGTTAAATTCCAGCTGAATCACTGGCCTTTCCGAATCATGTAGAGCTAGTTTTTACCGAAACCAGGACATGAGAGATAGAGAAATAGTGATACGTGTAGCTGTGTTACAATTATGGACAACAATAAAAACCAGATTGAATTCGCTGGATACCAAATATTCTCATATGACTCAACATATATCATCTGATATTGAAAACGCAATACTCATTGTTAGCATTCGCTTCTTTCAGCATACAGATCTAAATATTCGTATTAAATACTCGAACAGCCCTCATGGCACCCCTTCTTGCCTTCCAGCTTAGAGGAAAGAGCCCCAGAGAAAATGAATCAGAAATGGAAGGCCGTTGAACGGGGGGATGACCGAGAATAGTAGAGAGCAGCAGCAGCTGACTCAACTAATCGTTGTATTCCACACTCGAATACCCTTTGCTCAACGACCATTGACGAAGACATGTGGTGGACGGTGCTAGTCCCTTCCCTTCCTGCATTTGCTTGGAGAAGTGGGGGTTCTCTTCGATGTGTCATTGTGCAGAAAATACTCGAGCAGAAGAGAACTTCATAGATATCCAGATGTAAGCTGGCAAAAGCAAAATGGCAGCTCCATAGGTCGGGTATATTTCCCTTACCAACGATGTGCTGAATGGTCAATAGCCTCTCTGTCCACGTTGCCAGTAAGTTTGTATGCATCATCAACTTTCATTTAATTTCAATACGTCCTAATACTGTGGAACGGCTAATTGTTTCTGGCCAAATAAATCTGTGCTCCAAACATCGATTAATCGTTTTTTATTGAAATTAGTCCAACAACAATACAATTGTGCTAAAAGTATACGCAAATTGGCTTTGATTTAAACAAACCGATGGCTTTCTAAGGCTAAAATGATTGATGATGACAACGAATAGTACTAAAATCAGAAGATCCATTAGAATAGATGATGAGAAAGCCCATTTTCTTGAGAATTGCAATCCCCCAAGCTACTCCGAATCCAACTACGAATATAGTATTCGAGTTCGCATAACACATTCCTCTTCAATTTCTGATCAAAATTGTTTACGTAACATAGGACTAGCAACAGGTAGAGCAAATCTAATTGAATGTGATTGTGCAAGTTTTAAAGTTATATAAAAACGATATCATAGGAAACGAAGTTTTATTACGATCAATTACATACAATTTATTACAGCCAATTTTCGGCAGTATTGCTAACCTGTTGGAGAAATCGAAAGAGGCGATAGTTAAGGGGATCATTGACTTCCATCATATAGACCTGGCCATAACCGATTCCATGCTAAACGAGCCTATCGGGGCGGCGCTAATGCAATCGAATCAGACCTACGATGACGTCATCTCAGAGGACTTCTTCAAACTTATTGGATTGGGTACTTTCGGAGGCATCAGCTGGAACACAGACCTGGTAGGGTTTTCCGCTCTCTTGTGTGCCGCTTGCTGATTTAAGGTTCTCCGATCAAGTGTCGCTGCTGCAGCGCATAACCAATCTGGCCCTCGTGTCGTTCGAGTATAATAAACTACTACTACCTGCCCCTTCAGGACTTCTATGGAACGCGGAAGAGCACAGCTCTGGTTTTTCTCAACCGGCACGTCTCTCTAAGCTTCCCCCGTTCCTACTCGCCCAGCATGATTGAGGTGCGAAGCTTGCACATCAACCGCAAGCGAGAGCCCCTGCCCAAGGACATCGAAGAGTCTATTAAGGGAGCGAATAGGTATGGTGTCACGATGAACTATGAAGAACTCACAGCTCCGATGCCAATGGTAGCCATTGAGAGGCTCGTCAAGAGTCTATAGGCCGCTAAGAAGGTGCAAGACCTGTCCGATCCCTATCGGAATCTCTGGGATCGGCCTGCATCTTCAGTAACCAAAGCAACATAATCCGTTGTAAAAAATTCTCTCTTGCTCTTTCACCTTTTTTCTCTTTCTCCACCGCTCCACGGCTGTTTGCAGCAGTTTTCCAAGCCGCTCCGCAGCAGCAGATTTGAAAATCGTATAAATGATGTCCACATTTTAAGTATCTCAACCTGCCCGACTCGCATCTAAAGTTGCTCCCGCGTTGCATTTGAGGCTGGGATATAAAGTATACGTTGGAATTACTTGAGGAAACCAGCTACAGCGCGGGCCGAAATCTTAAGACAGATCTGTACAAATTTTATTTGCAAAAACGATCTATTTTCTTTTTATCTCTCTTCGTCTTGTCTTCTCTTTAATTACAGTACACTTTAATGGTGCCACTTCATGCCATTCTGCTATATGGTGTCATTTCTGTAGCCACGATCGACAAGCAATGTATTTAAGCATTCAGACTCCCAAGGCTCGCCCGCGAAGGTAAGTGTAAGTATTTTAAAAGTATTATTTTAATTACAAATATTATTTGCTTATCTACCGCCTTATCAATCGTAAACACTGGTTTTTTTAATGGTGCGCCAAGACACATCGGCTCAGGTTCCACCGATAATTAAGTTTATGGAAATACAAAAAAAGGAGGGATTGCTGATAGTCGTTTTCCGTGCAGGTCCGCAGAGTCGCAACATTCATGTGAGCTTGGCTCCCATACCGGTATGCAAGGACAATCGTACTCTGGTTCGTACTCAAGCGCAATCAGTACAAGTTGTGATCAAATGATCCTAATATTTCTATAAATTTATTTATGTAGGTGAATAATTAGTTAAGTTTCCGAGTCAATAGTGTCTATGATTTCCGACTTCATAGCTCATTTCATGACTGTACCGATCAATCAATTCGTCATTTTACGTCAGAGTATTACGAGCCGGTCTACGAAGGCGGCCATAGCAAAGACCACATGATCCCCTCTGTAATGGTGAAACGCCTGGCGATATCGGATCATTTGCATAGCCATAATGAAGGAAGCATTTGCCGGTCAAGACTGAGTTTCCCGCAATCTTTTCTCTCTCTCTATCTCTGTCTATATCAGGGGTATCTTAAAAGTAAAGATTGGTTTTGTGAAGAATCGGAAGCAAATGCAGCGAGT